CGGGCATCCCCTGCCCTGAGCGCTTCTGCGGACGGCAGCAGCGGCAGCACTAGCGGGGCAGCGCCATGGGGACGGCGGCGGGGCTGGCTCTGGCGGCCGTGCTGGCCGCGTTCGTGCTGTGCGGGCCCGGGGCGCTCGCCGGGCGCGTCCTCAGCGGTGAGTGCCGTGCGGGGGCTGGTGCGGGAATGCGGCGCTGGCAGAGCCGGGAAGAACGAGGGGCGGGAGAGCTGGGAGCGAGCCCGCTGGTTGGAAGCGCCTCCCGGGAGCGCCGCTGTCCCGGCGCGGCCGTCCCGGGGCTGCGCTCCCGGCAGAGCTGGAAGCAGCTCCAGGTTTGGGTCCGGAGGCTCCCGCGGCAGCCTGGAGCGAGTTCCTGCTGTTCAGGAGCTGGCTGGTTGCGGGAGCGCTCCGGCTCCCTTCGAGTTGTTCAAAAAGATCGAGCGTGTGCTCCCTGCAGCGCCTTGCCGAGGAACAGCTGTGCCTTGAGTTGTGTTGGCACCTGCGCAGGGATGTTTCTTCTTTGTTTGTAGTGTTGTCGGGAGGAAAAAGCAAACTTCTAAGAGCAGGTGGCATAAATAGTTTTATTACGTGTAGGTGCGTGCACAACTCTCAGAGCAGAAAGGAAGACAGTGCTTCAGAAATCTCTGTCTTAAGTTTAATGTAAGAGCCGTAAGCTCACAGTGTTTCCAGTGTACGGGTGCATATGCTCAGAAGCCACTAAATGTGATGAAAAGGCGATTTTTAATTGTACTTTGGCTCAGACTCTCCAAGCTAAAGCTGAGAGGCTCTTGGAGGCGTGTTACACGTGCAGCACATCCATGCATTTATCTGGAAACAAAGATTTACACTGTCGACTGTGCTTGTTAACAAGTTATGTGTAAGTGTCTGTATGTACAGGTAGAAACACGGCTGTTTATGAACTGATTCCAGAAAAATTATTTGTATACAATTATTTCAGAGACTGTAATGGACATGCTACTGCATATCAAGAAAACTTTTCTAGCAGTTTTTTGTGGGAGACATTTGATGTCTGAATTTGGATAATTTTCTTAATTGCTGGTGGGGTGCAGTCACTGACCATTCTGATCATGTTTTATTTGAAGCATGTTCATGTGCAGAACTGCGATGAGCTGTTGGGCTTTTGGTGAAACAATGCCTTCAGGAAACAAAAGTACTTCCAATACTTTGAAAAAAACTTGCTTGCCTGAAGAGTACCCTGAAATACTTAATCTACCTCCATTATAATGTCAGTTGTACTGGCTGATATCATACGTCAAAGCTTTTTGTATAACAACTCATATGAATTCTATGTAACAATTTATTTTTAAGGAATAGAGAAGATTAATCATCCGTGAGATGCATTTTGCATTGTAGTCTCACTACTGGGGTCCATGTCTGACAGAGGAAACCCAGTCACTTAACCTTCCAGCTAAAGCTTCTGTGTTTAAGTGAGATGTAGCAAATTGAGTAGAAGTCCAGCTTTTAAAAACGATGTATGATGTGTGTGTACTGCTTAGTTAAATTGTTCCTTGATGCAAAAAAAATACAACCAAACGTTTTGGGACTTTGAAAAAACGCAGGCTCTGCCTTATTATTCCTTGAAACACTTCAAAGCATATAATGAGCCTCATGTCAATGTATTATACATCTAATACTTGGTTGGTAGAATACAGGGGAAGATTTGAAGACACAGAATAACTATTTATGTGCTATTAATTTATTAGCTGAAGTTGTATTCATTAGGTAAATAACAGCCAAATATTTATTATTCTTCTACCAGATACTCTGATGTACTGACAGAAGAACTCTTTTTTAAATTCTATTTCTTCTCTTCTCTCAAGGACCACACCCCTATTCTGCCACATGCACAGGAATAGGTTTGGTACTAGTAGTAGTTGACACTTTTTCAGACAAGAAATAGTGCTATTGGATAATTGGGCAGTGTGTGCTGTCCACCTGACTCCCATCTAGCTTATCTCTCTTTGTATAAGAACCAACAACTTGGGCTTAAACAAGTTTGTTTGAATGTGCAAGTCTGTATCTTAAATAGACCTGTTCCTGAGAAATTGCTAATTTATGCTTCAGTCATGATAAATAATCTGGAATGATTGGAAATATCACTGTTCTCATTCCAAATAAATATGTAATTCCTACCACTCACACAGAAGCTGTTTGTAAAACTGGCTTGAGTGCTGGTTGGACCTTGTGGAAAGAATCCTATTTACTGCAGTAAGTTTGCACCAGACCTAGCAATAATTTCAAATTTGCAACCATTTAGACCACAGTATCAAGAGGGCAGAGAAGGAAGGGCCTGCATTTTCAAAATGATGTTTCCTTAAGTAAAGGGCTTCTGTTACTCTTTCCAAGTATGTTAATTTTCCTAGGATATAATTACAACTGTAGCTAGCATCAAATAATTCACATTCAGGTGTTATTTCTTTGTCATCTTGTATTTGGGAAGTTTTGAGGAGTAGTAATGCAAATGTTTTGTAATTTTTAGTGTAGTTAGACAGATGGTTTGTGAGCAGTGCTCACAGCCTCCATATCGGGCTATCTAGTGTTGCCAGAGAATTGATTCTTGAAGAAGAAAACAAATCAAAGCAGGCTCAGGAGAAAGTGCTGAGTCTGCCTTGCTGTCCCATGACATCATAAAGAACATGAAGTGATGATAATGCAGTTTGCAAAGATGCAATTACTTTAAGTATCTATTGGGCAGGAGAGTTGCAAGCTAATCTTATTACTAATCATTTAACAGCCTATGTATTAATCATAGATGTTATAGTTTAATGACTACTGTTTGCTGTCTGCTTGTATTTCTATGCCTTTTTAAATTTTGCTCTTTGCTATGGCTATGCATCAATAGTCAGATTAAATAGTGATGCAGTATTTTAAAGCAGAATGTATCTATTTTGGTGCAGAAGTATTTGGGCATATAAAACACTAAATGAGGAAAAACATTTGGTGGGTCATGAAAGCACAAGAATTGCCCCTAAACTTTGACTTATTTGCTTCGGATGCCTTTAAGGAAGTGGGTATGTTCATTCACAAGGCTGATGATCAGATTTGAGTTGTGCATAAAATACTGCACAGTAAGATAATTGAAGAAGTATCTTCATGAGTACTGAATTGGATAGACCCTTTCTCAGAAGGGCTTAATTTAGTTGAATTGGCTTAGACTGCTTATTACAGTTTTGTCTGTCAGTCTGTTAAGTATTTTCTGTAGATGAAACCTTCTACTGTAAAGCTGTGGGTTTTTTTCATTAACAGTTCATTTTAAGGTACACTCGTGGCTCAGAATTTGAAAGTATAACTTGGAAAAACCACTGCCTGTCTTGTCTACAGGATACATGTGCAATAGGTGTATATTGAACATATTTTATTGTAAATAATATTATTTATTTTATTTTATATTTATATTTATTTTAGATTTATATTTTTTATATTTATTTATTTTAATATTTTGGAGCATTCAGCTCCATACTGGAAAAGCTTTTAATGCACATGCATGACATGCATGCCCACATAGTACAAAATCTTCTTGCTCAGTTTTAGATCTCAGTAGTCATTAAACCTGGGACTTGGAGAACTTCAGGAGAAGCTGAGCATTTTATTTCCCTGGACTTCTTTATCAATTCCTTTCCTTATCCACCTATTCTGAGCAATGTCTTCTTGGAGATAAACCAATGATCTAGGCTCTTAAAGTGAAATGAGGTGATGACTCTTGAATATAATACATATTTCTATTAAACACACCTTGCTCCTCACCAAGAAATTCCACAATACCATGTGGAGTGAGAACACAGTTTTGATAATGGGAGATTTGTGATGGTAGATGAGTCTTTATAGAGCAAAGCAGAAATACCAAACTACTCGAATCAGTTTTAGGAGTCAGATTTCAGTTTTAGAGGTGATTTTCCCCTTGATCAAACCAGTTAAGCTTACCCTGCTTATGCAGGTTGGCAAGACTGTGGTTCTGCTCAGGGGCTAAGGGGAGTGATGGAAATTTCTAGCACTATGCCTCAGTTGAGCGTGCAACTTTTCCAGGAATGCAACTTTTCCCTCACATCTCGTTCAAAAATAGAGGAATTTTTGTAATTGCAGTTCTCAAACTTGTGGTTGTCAAGCCCCAGTACTCCACTTGGCTGAAGAGCCCAAGAGGAAATTCTTACCACAGAGGGAGCTATGGTAAATAACATGTGGAATGGTATGGACAGTTAGTTTTCCTTTCATGTGACTTTTCTTGCTCCCAGTGAGACAAGGTGTCTGTCCCAGTGCAACAACCAGGTGCACTTGTTGAACTCATGTTCTGTACCCTGACTTTAATTCTGTGTAGTTCAGATCTGATCCTGTGTACATCCAACTTATTGATTATAAGATGTTTGCAGGAGGACATGCTTTGGTTCATAAGGGCTCTGTACAGCACTATTTTTCTGAAACTAATTCTCATAATGGCTTTCTCTTTGGAAATCTCTGGATCAGAAAAGACTTTATAGTACTAATGCAAAATAAGTAAGATGAAACAATGATTTGATAGTAATTGCTGCACTCTAATCCCATACTCATACCTGTCACTCAATAGTTGGAAATTGAATCTCTTGCTGAAGCAGTCCCTACTCCCACCACTGAGAGATAGTAGGACCTTCAGTTCCAAGCAATCTTAAGAAATAATGAGTCCTAACTAAAGAGTTGGCATGGCTACAACTAAATCTAAATGTAGCTGCAACTAAATCAAAATGCAGCTCCAGCTAATGACTCTAGGTTCACTTTATGAGAGAAGGATAAAAATGGTATTTTTAGAGTGGGATTAGTTTCATTTTGCTTTAGATCTTGAAAACACCACAGATACACCCTAAAAAATGCCTGTTTCATTCAGTTATCTACATAGTAACATCAGTGAGCCAGTTTAGATGTGCATGGGTATATTGGGAATAACTAAAGTTTGGGGAGATGAATCCCACTCTGTATCTCAGCAGTTTCTTCCCCAACAACACTGTACATGTGCACATGTAATGAGAATTAACCTGTCATGCTTTACCTCTATTTGACTATTTTTCTCTTAGTGTATTGTAGTACCAATTGTAGTACCAATTCTAAGATTCCATATGGATTGGCTTTTCCCAGTTTCTTGGGAGAATGTGAATGAGCAAGAACTTACCTGT